CTCACTCACTCACTCACTCACTCACTCACTCACTCACTCACTCACTCACTCACTCACTCACTCACTCACTCACTCACTCACTCACTCACTTTTATTTTATCAGCCAAATCCCCTTGAGATCACAGATYTCTTTTGAAATGGAGGCCTGGGTCTGAAGGCAGGTTTTTGGTCTATGAATGCAAACCGTAATCCCTGGAGAAAACCCATGCCAGAGTGAGGAGAACATGTCCATGACACAACTCTGATGATATGATTACAAAATCGATCATGTTGACCTTTGACCTCAGGTGACCTGGTATCAAGTACATTTATGGATGCTCAAACACAAGGTTTAATAATTTTGTGAGAATTGATAATGAAGAAATAAACAAAAGTTGTAACATAATGTGTACTGGTTTTCCACATACAATGGCAGCCAAGTAAAAGTTTCATTTCTTGTTTTTGTACACTTTTTATATTTAATCAAAAGCATCACATTTCCCTTTCCTTCCTTCCATCTTTACCTTTGCTCCTCACGGAGAGAACATCCTCTTCATCATACTCGTCCATCTCAAACAACGGGACCTGAAAGACGTGGAGCAAACTGGTAATACTGGTTTCAAAGGAAATTTTATGTATAAATACTGTGGKTTTTTTTTAAACTTATGCAAAAATATGAAGCTTGTTTTGCTGTACCACATCTGAACTATGACTTTAGATGTTTTAGGTTCTGTTGGTTAAACTGTGATCTGAAACATTATGGTTCATTTAATTACGAGAAATATTAATATTGTTGATCTGTGTTTGTCCAGACTACATGACTCGTAAATGTTTGTGCTTAGTAATGGTGTAAGAGTAAAGACACAGCTGTTGATCTTTTAACTTCCTAAGCTGTTGAAGGGGCAATATCATGTAAAGTCAACGTTTTTTGAGTTTTATATCATGTTATAATGTTATACTCTCATAAAAAACATGCCTAAAGCCTTGCTTTGACTCATTCATGCATGTTTGAGAAATCCTGCAGTGTTTTTAGGAAGACATGCTGAGGAGCAAAACGACAGGTGGGGAC